CTACATATTAAACCTTTAGTACGCAAAAAAAAAAGTTCGATTGAATTTAAATCAGCGGGAGAAGCAAACTCATTTTTGACAAAATCGTTCGACGACAATTACCTGAGACAGATCCGTAAATTTTACATCTGTCACCTGTGAACGAGTCTGCAATCAGTGTTTTTCTGGATATCTCATCCGCCTACAGTAGTGAAGTTGAACTTCCTTTACTGCTTCATCTAAGCCAGCCAGTGAGGCTGATTAATATTATTTGCAGCCTACTTGTGTCCAGGTTTGTCAAGGTATATGTCGATGGTAAATCTGAGACCCCGAGATCGATTTGGCAAAATCTTCCACAGGGCTTTGTGTTGAGCCCACTTTTACATAATCTTTACACGTACAACCTTGACCAAACTGTGTCATGTTTCTACAACATCTTACAATACGTCGACGATATGGCCTTGATCTCTAAGAATATGTCTGAGGCCGTCTCCCGCATTAACTCTGCCCTTAATTCCTTCTATACTTGGTTTTTGGAACACGGCCTGGCCCTCTCACCTAGCATATCAAACGCAGTATCTTCTCGCGTTAAAGAACAGTGCCCGCTTTCGAGAAAGTGTGTGCATGTGTGTGGATGGATTTAATGTATTTTGCGAGTTTTGGTCACATTTTTAAGAAATTTCGATTAAGTTTTATAATATTTTCAGTTCCCTAACAATTATTTGTAATCTTTTTAAGCAAGACAGAAGTGCAGACACAATAAATTGCAGTTCGTATTTTACGAAGATCGTAAAATAAGTTTCGAATAGCGCCAAATTTGACGCTATTCAAAAACTTTGCGCAATAATCAATAAATATCTTGGAATACAAGATACGTCTTAATTATTTTATCATCCATCGATCATCACTGAAAGCGATAATATTATTGCCTCGAACAACGCTGTGTTGTTTGGCGTTGCTGCGACGCTTCTATCGCGCGCGACGATGGGTCATGGGCGTGTAGTCGCAAAAGCAAATAATGTTTTTGGCTATAGGTGCGATGATAACGGTAAGTTGTATCCGTAGTCGTAACATCAGCAACAGTAACATGACTTTTATAAATATAATATGAAATATTAAAAGTTTTCCAGTAGTTCCAAGCAAGCTTATAAAGTAAATGAAGAATAATTACATCCCACAACGTTAAATGAAAGTGTACTCTTAAAAGAAATACGCGACCATTTTTCTTGGCTGGAAATGCTCAAGTTCAGAAACTATTTTGCATAAAAAGCTGGAAAGCATTTTTATGAGTTCAGAACTGTGTCCAAACGTATTAGAGTCATATTGCCAGCGAAACTTATGATCTCCTTTACAAAGAACATAGTGGAAAATTATTTTTCCGTTGAATTCAACAGGCTCGTAAAATCAGTTTTTGGAATTCTAAGTTTTTTATTAAGTTTTATTTAACACGAGACTTTTTCTACTATGTAAGAGATTATAAAAGAGGTAGCTTGATACTTACTATTTAAAATTAACCTTCATTAATCTTTCCGGCAGTTAACAAGATTTATCATAATTAAATCCTTTATAGTGGAACGAATTAATGTGGTGACATGTAAGAAATGGGTTTACCGACAAAGATATAAAATTTCAAATGAAATACCACGTATGTTAAGTTTTATGTAATATTTGTACATATAAAATAACATTGCTTACTTTTTTCGTATACTAAATATTTTTACTTGAATTCTACCGTCATACAATGCTAATGCTTAACTAACGAGGTGACGGTTCAGAGAAATTAATTCGCTCCATTTCTATTTCTAGTAGGTTTTGTTACGTGTGATAACTACTATATCCTAGAAGTTGAATATATAATTTAAAGACAGACTTAAGAATAGTGTTCTTTTAATCTATTCTACGAGTGTTCTATCACCATACCATTACAACTTGCCGATATTGCCGAAATTGTTTAATTCATTCATGAGTATGCTGCGTTGACTGATACAAATAACAATAATATTATCAAATATTTTCGTACACGAAACGTACCTAAGCAGCAGGGATCCCGCAAATGTGGGCGGACGCGGATGCGACTTTTTCATCGTTGAAATCTGCTGAATTATCATTAGGTAATTCAAGTGAAAGGTAATAAGTAATTTCACATAATTTCATTACAAAAAAGAGATGAAAGATAGAAGGTATAGAAATATAATATATTAGGTCAATTATTAATACTTAAAATTCCGGATGATCAGAGGCTGCGAATGAAGATGCAAACATCTGCGACGTCCCTATTACGCGGAGAGCATGAATTGTAATTAAATTCTATTCTTCTAATTAGAGGCACATGGGACTTGTCAGCTTATGTCTCAGGGTTACGGGCGCAGTGGCAGTGCCCCTCAGATCTTTGCGATTTAAAACTCTGAGTGGCACTGTAACTGTTCTGGACAGGCGTGTAGCTTACCATCAGGCGCACGACTTGTTCGTCCCGATATATATACATAAATCGTGAATATTTATTCATTTATACACAGGTACTAAATAAACACTTTTAGAATTTCTAAGCTTTTGTCACTTTTTCGGAATTTAACGGGTTTTTGACCGCTATGGCGCGACTTCTAGAAAGCACTTAACTCGGGTCGTAAATATAATGAATTTCGTGAAAGATAACAACAGGGATAATAGTAAGGGCACGGATGGCATGGTTATAGTGAACAACATTTAGGGGCTATAATCGCTCTTTATGTCAAGAGGTTTTGCTTAACGAGCGTTTAATATCTACTTTCTTATAATGAGTAAAAAATTACTTTGTAAGGTATTATTACATCTACCTTAATACTGAGGTGTATTAGAGCTTCTTCTTATCTCTACTTATTGGCGGTGCCTTTTTTAGGATTTCGCTAGGACCGCGTTATCCCCTTAGTAATTCATGAATATATTGTAAAAATAATATAAAAAATATGGCGACTTTCGTCAATTTCCCGTTTTTCTTCCATCAACACGTGCGATTAGGTGTACCACTAAGAACCGGTGCAAATGAACTACACGAATTTTTGTTCAGAAGTAGCTGTAGGTGTCCAATAACCCGCTTTGTCTGCTAAGCCACATATCCGTGACTTTTTAAATTTAGAAGCTATTGAAACAAAGCACTGTTTCCGTCAACGACTATCTATCAATAAGCTGCTGTCAAATATTTGCAAGCTGCGTCTTATAATTTGTATTTAACAGCCCTTTGGAGCTGAATTTTGGGTTTGCTCAGGCATAATTCACATAGATTATCTTCAAAGCGAAAAACAATCAACGTCAATGTTATGTCCACTTATTAAAACGAGGTCAACGACGATTTGAAGAAAAAAATAACTAACGAAGAAGTGCTCTTCCATCAAGACAACACTTGATACACTATAGTCATAGTGAAATTTCGTGAACTGCCTACGACTTCCTGCCTCATCGGACATATTCCCCGGATTTAGCCCTAAGTGACTATTTCCTGCCCCCAACCTGAAGAAATGATTTGATGGAAAGACATTTGGCGCAAGCGATGAAAACATCGCTCAAATAGACACATGTATTTTGAGGACGTCGACATCTTATGTTATTTGAAGGGATCAAATTGGAGCAATACTGAGGCATAAAACGTTTTGTGATACACCCCATGTACGACCATGTAACAAATTAATATACACGTATTAACTCCTTCATATTTTTATGATTATTTTTTGTTGGAAAGAGGGTACCTCAGGGCAAACTAGAAAATGAACGACTTTTGAGGTCGGTGTTTTTAGTACTCTGTACTGAGATTATTTACTCAATGAAGTGACTTTGGAAGAGACCAAATAATATCTTAGAAATGGTAGACACAGGTTACAAAATGTGGAACTAAATACTGATAAGTTGTTATTGTAATTCAATGCCTTGCTGATATGGTCCTGATTTGATAGATCAACACTACAGATTATTGTGGTTGTATAACGATGTTTAGATTTCTATGTGTATTTTCATTGCGGACGTTCCTGTTGTTGTCATATCATAGATAAGTTGTCACAGTGTAACGACGATTACAAATTCTGAATTTATATACCAATCTTTTCTTTTTATTAAATTTTACACAAATAGGAAGCAAGCACAGTCAAAACACTCGAACGTTGAAAACGATCGGTACTACTTAACAAGTTAAGTCTTACAAGGCTGATTGAGGGATAATGATGTTATTAGTTTTTACGTATGATGATTTGCAATGATTCTGTTTTTCCGTTATATAAAGTCGAAATTACAAGTGCTGCGCCATGATAACATGAACAGCGTCTGACTGATATACATCTCAACGCCTATTTTGACGATTCATTGTAACACGCAGGAATTAATTTTAATAAATATAGTTGCGTCACTCATTTTGTAACTGTATATCAATATGCAAGTTAGTTATATAAAGTAGAAGCGATGTAGTGCAGATATGAGGAGATAGTGAGTCAAAGTAAGTTTTTATCAGTTATTGTGCTGTGTGTGTTGCTTGTGCGAGATTGTACTAAAACATAATTTAACCAGTAAATATCTACTTATATTGTTAACGTTTGTTTTACAATATACAAAAATATGTGCATATGCTTTATTAATAGCTTCAATTTTGTATTGCGTTTTCGTGAATTCATTTGAAAATAAATTGAAGAGGTGTATGTAACAGGTTTTTTTCCTTCTTTTTATAGTTTATCACAATGCTCGGAGTAAAATTCTCACTAATTGGGATACTGGCGTCGCTATCCTTCGTCGATGCTGCTAATATCCTGGTGGTATTTCCAGTTCCAGGGAAGAGTCACGGGATCCTCGGAGATGGCTATGTGCGATTGTTGTTGGCAGCTGGACACCAGGTCGGTGTCGAATATATTCTTGAAAAGATTTAAAAAGTTTTATTTAAAATTGTGCCAGCCAGTTTTGGTGAAACTTGCTGGCAAGAAAGTATCTTTAACTTTGCAATGTCTATTGTAACGATTCCATAAAAACCAAACCTTACTTCAAAATAATATTTAGTAATTTGTTGTTATTCTCGCTTGTTTATTGAAAACGTATTTGTTTTTACTATCTATGGTTCAGGTTACATATATAACCCCGTTTCCGAAAAAAAGCTCGCATCCAAATCTGACCGAGGTAGACGTCAGCCGCAACATGGACTATTTACATCGTAAGTGAAATTATTGTACCAGCTTAAATATTTCAACTATTTGATGAACATTTCAGCACCAAAATTGGAATAAAATTGATTAGTTATGAAAGAGACGCAATCTTTTAAAAACAACTAAACGACTAGACTAGTAGGAAATGAAACTATTTTTCCGGATTTAAATCGCGTATATTTGTTTTTTCAAACAAACCGACGTTTCGGGCCCTTTACAGGTCCCATGGTCACGGTTGACTGAGGTGGTACAGTCTTCAACCAGTTATGTCTAATATTGATGCAAACCACCCTATTTTTTTACTATAGTTACAATAATTAATAATTAAATACCTTATTTTTAATTTTACAAAGAAAACATTCCAATTTACGCTATATTAAGTTTTACAATTTATTTTATTGAATGAATTTTTATTAAGTTCAATTTATTATTAATTATTAATAGAAATTAGAATAAACTAAAACATATTAATTAGTACTGCAGTCTTATGTCCGTTTGGGATTTTTCATTAGAGGAAATACTGGATCCCAAACTGGTGGTACGGAGAAACCATCTTCCCTGTTGAAATTAGGATGTTTTTTAATTTCAATGGCCTCTCGCAGCATCCTGGGTAGATAGCGGACTTCTTTTGCAAGGACCTGGGGTTTGTCAAACTTCATTGAATGTGTAGGTTTATCCATGACATGCTCGCAGACTGCAGACTTGTTTACGCGACGGTGTTTGACATCAGCTATATGTTCTTTGACGCGGGTACAAATACTTCACTTTGTTTGTCCAATATAAGAGAGACCGCACTCACAGTCAAGTCAAGTCAAGTCAAGGTTTGTTTGAAAATCCGGAAAAATAGTTTCATTTCCTATGTGTAACAATCGCGAAAACCTAAGAACTCGACTAGACTAGTCTTTTAACTTTAAGTCTTGAGTCACAAGACTAATTTACTAAAATGTAAACAAACTTATTATATCCTTTAATTAATTAAAATTTGAAAATAGAATTGAGTGATTTATTTTGCAGACGACGGGCTTAATATAAAGAAAATATTGGACAAAGAAACAAGTCCGGTTAACCTGAACGCCTTATATGAGATGGTGGTAAACCTGGGTAATGCAACTTTTACTAATGAAAACGTACAGAAAATTATAATGGATCCTTCGCAGAAATTTGATGCTGTCATAGTGGAATGGTTGTTCTGGGAAGTAGGTTGTGGGTAAGAATATGCTTTATATTTAATTATAAAAAAACATATAGCCTGTGAATCGTGATAATGAAAAACTAGTACGATAAGTTTTTAAGTAATTATATTTATGTTTGTATTTTAAGCGTCGTTTTTAATCAATATAAAGAATTAATTTTTGAGAACACTTGTGCTGCCAGTAGTTTTCTATAGTTGATTCAAAGATCCATTACCTAAGCATGTCCGTTATTATTATTAATTTGTATTATCATTTTTATTGTATGTTTTACAACACTAGGTCGATATTTTGACTTTAGTTTGTATCGTAGGATCGTACAATAATTCAGCGCAGTAAGCTGACTAGGTCCCAAAACGACTACATATAGTTTGTAGGCTTGTATAGTTCATGAACTACGAACTTTAGGAATATATTCCCGACACTGACCGACATGAACTAGTTCGTCTTGTACGGTTTTAATAGTTCATCGTTCATTTTAGTTCAGTACGAACTAGGAACTGTCTGCGTTGATAGTTCACCTATCTTTTATTCAGTAGGAACAGTGCGAGCGGGACAAATAGCGATCTTTCACTGCTTTAAGTTCGAGTGCGATCCACGATCGAACGATAAAGTAAGTGCTCATATGTTTTGGTAGGTGTGGTAGGTACGTACTTATCTGTATGTATAATATCAACCTACGTGTACGTGTATATGAAATAGTTATATATATGTACCTAAATATTGTAATATAATATTTTAATCACAACGTTGTAACTAAAATTCTTGTTTTGTAAAAAAAAAAATATAATATAATAGTTAGAATGACATTCTTCAAACATCTAAAATATGAAAGAAAATCAAATAGTGCCGATTCCATACAAATTATATTTTTTAATATTTAGTACAATGTACTACTGACCTCATAATACGAGAAGTCCGTAGTAGTTCATGTGAATAAAATTACTAATTTGGAGCGTTCGTTCAGTATCCGAGCAAGGACAAGACGAACTAACTAAATAAGGAACTGAATCAACTAGAAAACCGACCTTGTTCAGTTGACCGATTGAACTAACTAGGATCGCTCCCTCTAAGGACCGATCAGGCACAAGTCTAGTAGTTTGAAATGGAAACAAAGGTTTTAATTTTGGTTTAATAATTTCGTAGTTATTTGTTACCCGAAATAATGCCCCTTATAGGTTTGTCGACTTGGATCTGAGTCTGCACGTGACGGCACTGTTTAGTATTTATATTACTACGTTTCTATTACATATTCTTTGAAAAAATCGGAAAAATATTTAATTAATATGTTTTATTATTATTATCACACTTATTTACGTACAAACGTTCACAGCCGTCCAAGTCGAGGTGACTTTTACTGGGAACATTGGAAAGTATCGTTGCCACAAATAGCGTGGGTATACAGTAGTAGGAAGGGATTATCAATCGGTATTGACATGCTAAAAGGTACTTAGTAATATTATGGTAATAGTATAGTATAAGACGCATCCAGGTTGCTAATATTGTATTTCACGCTTCTTACTGTTTCATTGTTAATATGAGGATATTGCCTGGCTGAACCTTTACCGTTCTTCTCAAGTTTTGTGTTAGAAAATTCAATTATTATCTATTCATATTCTATATCATTTCACACCTGTGTACAATTTTCAGATTGTCAGCAGTGTTCGATTGCCCGTACATATGGTTTTCAACAGTGGAACCTCACTGGATGGTCACAAAATTAATTGATGAACGCTTACATCCAGCTTACAATGCCGATGTTTTGACGGGGAACACACCACCGTTCAACTTTAAGCAACGGGTCCAAGAACTATTCAACCAAATTTTTCTAAGTTTTTACTTGGATTAGTGAGTTTTAATACGTATTTATAACGTACAAGAGTCCAATTAGAGTCCAATCCAAAACGATTACTTCAAACAGGCTCACTTCTGAGCCCTTTAAATATTTTAAAAGGTTTCGATGACTTATATTGTATTGAAATTATGTATTACTTGGAGCGATATGCTGTATCTAAGCTTTATAGAAAATCCATTTAATGATTTGCTTTCCTGTATTTATTATATGTATTGGTTGCAGTTTTGTTGTGCCCGTAGAAGAGAAAACATATCAAGTATTCTTTGGCCCAGCGGTGGCTATAAGAGGAAGATCTTTACCCCCTTATCATGATGTAAGGTTCAACGCGTCCTTGATGTTGGGCAATTCACATGTTTCGCTGGGACAAGCTACAAGATTGCCCCAAAACTACAAGCCAATAGCAGGATATCATATCGACCCCAATGTTAAACCTCTTCCGGAGGTAAGACCTGATATCCTTTTTTGTAAGGCCTTTTGCACATTTCGCCTTCAAAACGGGTTCTCTTCTCATCGTCGCCACGAGTTTAAGAACTCCTAAGTGAATATGGTATCAATTGTTTGAACTTTTACTACTTGATTTGAAAGAGAGTACGTACAGCAATTAAATGTATGGTAATACAAATTAAAAAGCAATGATAAATTTAAATAAAAAGCAATTGTTGCAACGGCGTTTTGATAAAACATTAATTGTTTAAATTGTTACAAGAATATTGCAAATGCATACCTGACAACGATAACAATTAAAAATTAGACTTGAATTTTTCAGGATTTGAAAAACATTTTTGATAAAGATGAAAATGGCGTAATATACTTCAGCATGGGCTCTAACTTAAAAAGTAAAGATTTTCCAGAAAAATTAAAGAATGATTTATTAAAAATGTTTGGAGCACTGAAATATACCGTTATTTGGAAATTTGAAGAAGTACTTTTGGATTTACCCAGAAATGTTCACATCGTAACATGGGCTCCTCAGCCAAGCATTTTAGGTACAAGTGTAACTATCCGTTATGTTTTCTAAAGCAATTTCTAATGATCTCAACAATTACTGATGATTATGCCATTTTTATTGTTTTGCAGCTCATCCAAAAACGATTCTCTTTATAACTCATGGAGGTCTTCTCTCAACTACTGAGACGGTCCACTTTGGAGTGCCTATCATCGGTATACCAGCTTTCGCAGATCAATTTAACAACATTGACAGAGCCGTAAATAAAGGTTTCGCAAAGCGAGTAGACCTCTCCCACGTATTGGCCGACGACCTAAAAGTGGCTATTGTGGAAATGACTAGCGATCCACGGTACGAATCTATATTAGATTAAAGTATATATAAAATATTGTAATGTACAAATGAATACAATACATCTTTGCGAATTTGATTTTGTTTTTAGGTATGCAGCAAAAGCGAAAGAATTATCTCTAATATACCACGATCGACCGGTGTCTCCGGGCAAAGAGTTGTTGCACTGGGTCGAGCACGTTATCAAAACTAAAGGGGCACCACACTTGCGCTCACCAGCACTATATGTACCCTGGTACCAGAAAATGTACCTTGATCTTGCTACTCTTATATTGGCTGGATTATTAGCTGTTAAAATAGTTTTAAAACGATTGTTCGGTTCTAAAAGTAGAATAAATTCCCAAAAGAAATATAATTAAAAAGTTTTGCACACTTATTGAAAAGTATAGGTATCTTATACAAGGTTATTTGTTTATTTTTTTAAATGATTGTTCGACAAATCTAACAGCGTATAATAAAATCTTTTATTACCAAAATGGTCGTATTCTAATTTATATCTGCGACACTATCTGTTACGTTAAAATATGCAATATGTTCAATATCAAATAGTGGTGACAAATAATAAATCTTTATTATCCTAAAAAGATGATACAGAACATGATTATAGTTCTGTATACAGTTACGTAAACAAATGTTGTACAACTTTATGCTCATTATTCAACATTGTAGGTAAATGTACGGACAATATTACTGTCCTTACCATAAACGACGTAATCGACATTTTAAGCGAAATTGAGTTATTAACATATTTTGAATTAGAGAAACGAGATCTACAACACCATATAAGCGGTTTTTTTTTATAACTTATTTAATTACAGTTTTATTGTTAAGAGTCTATAGTAACTACCTCAGCTGAAATACATATATTTTCCGTACTAATACGGTTCTAACCTTTTTTTTTTGTTAATCCGAGGGAATCTGCTTACAGATACTCTGGCCCCGCGGGGGCAGAGCCGGGGTTATGTGGGACTGGGCTGAACCCTGAAGGGGAGCAGCCCGACCTCACTAAACCCCCTGAGTGTTGAGGGAAATAAAGAGTTTTACGGTAGATTTTTGGTAAACAATTTTTAAACATCACTTCCATATCCTGCTGGTACCTAACAATATTTTTATAGAAATCTTTGCCAAACTACTTTGTCAAAGTAGGTAGTCGTTTCAAGTAGTAATACATTTAACATGTTTACAAGCACGTAATCGGCGATGGTGAACATGAGAAAAGTTCAATCTTACGACCGAATGGTAGGATCAAAGAATCAATTTTGATAACTATTTGCGGTTTTCATATTCGTTCCACATTTAAATTTCGCGCTGTTTGCTATGTCAAATATGTCATTCACGAAGGTGTTGGCGGGCGTAAGCACTACGTGCCAGTTTCGATCCGCTCACCAACTCAAGCACGCAAAGATGCCCAATGTTCGTTAAACTATTCAAAATAATCAACACCTACGATACACCGCCAAGCTTTTGTGTTAAATATAGTAACTGCCGTGAACTTGTCCTTGAAATAAAGCTAGCGCACGGGGCGGACCAAAATATCCTCACGTCAATCAAGATTGCAGCACGTTGTTAGCAGCAGTAATTCTGCAGATTCTGCTTCTTCAGTTCAAGGTATTTGGGTGCTTGATGCAGTGTTTGACAGCGATATTGCTAACCTGCATACTTTAAGCATACAACTCACGAAACGGCTACACAAGCTTTCGTCTACCTTAGCGATGCACGACTTTGAATGTTACTAATACTGATCATTCGAATGGGCAAATCATTCGCCTAAGTCGAATCCAAGCACAATCATTCGCCCCTGCCATTCGGTCGGGTGCACGAGTCGAATGATTATATCGGAACACCTCATTCATCATGTCCATACCACAAAATATCCCTGACTCCGTCACATTTACAATGTTTATCATATATCAGAGAGGGCTAGACGATCACGAGCCGAAATGCTCTATGGAATCTATGGATTAGTACTACTAATTAGTAATGAATGATCATTCGTATACGAAAATTAGTAGGTTACTAATTTGATATTCGAATGACAGGATCAGCGATTACTAACGAGCCGAATGTCGAAATCATTCACAATCGCGCATCGCTAGTTGACCTTGTAGATGTATGACATTATTTTCATTTGGTGATCTCGTCCTCGTAACAATAATAAAAAGCTGATGATGTAATGGTAACAAAACAACATAAGAATAACTGTACTTATGAACACGATGATAATTTTGTTTATACTTCGGCAAATCAATGTTATACGACATAGTGTTTGCCAGTATACTTTATAAATATGTGCAAATAAGAATTATAATAATATTCCTAGGTGACATGAGTTTCATTGGCGTATACACTTCGCTCACGACAACGACGTCGTAATAATTGATGTTCCCTAACTAGTAAAGCTACGCATCTGAATGGTACTATTGTTTGAATTGGTATAATATGATTATTGTGTGTTTGAATGCGTGTCATGTTTAAACGAATAATATCGCAATATATAAAAGGCGCAACATAAACGTTGACCGAGTGTTATTTATTAAGCGAATTGAGCGTGTAATTTTCCCGTGTCATACGATTATACAGCTAAGCGAGTATAATTTTTTGATAAAAATAAAAAGGATATTTTACTATTCCTACTAGGTTCGCTTCAATTTAATATGGGTGACAACAAAAATAATAATTTGCTTTTAGATTTACCCATGAACCATTTTTCTATTATTGCCGGATTAAAAAAATTAAAAACGTAAAGATCAATTTAAGACATTTCCTGTATATGAAGCGATGAGAAAAGAATTCCCGAAGAGATTTAATTCTCATAAACAACGACTGAGTAGTTTTGATGAGAATCTCTGTAAATAATACCAGGTATATAACAGATTTAGAAATATGTAAGTATTAGCCACCTGTAAGTCAGACGGTTAATAAATGCCATTCAATACTTCATTACCTATGACGATACTGTTATTGAATTAAATACGATGACAATAGCTAGAAAATTTTACATACTTTACCAAGTTTACTGTAATTATTTGACAATAACGCAGCACAGAACACACCTATTTATTTACTTAGTATGAGTTTAGTTCCATTTTACAATAGTTTATTTTTTGTACAAATCTATGCTTCTCTTGCAATTTTATTGTGCGCTATTATTTAATTGTTACAACCAAAACAAATTGAGATATAAATTTCTACACTTAGGACGGAACAACTCAAGAATGACTCAACTGAAACTGAATTGAAAACATGGATCCTTGAATGGAAAAATATTCTCGACCATCGGTTCAGAAACATAGGGTCGTATTCTAGAACTCTATTCAATGCTCAAGTTAGGATTTGAGTATGGTTTAAAGCACTCGAAATCATACTTAAGTCCCTGCCATTAGGGTCGTATCTCCAGTGCTTGAAATCATACTCAGATCCTGACTTGAGCATTGAGTAAAGTTCTGGAATACGACTCTTAGTGTCCAGTATACCGAAAAACGTGACACCTGGAATGAGGCAATAAAAAGTATTAACATGTAAGAAGATTTCAGCAACAGAAAATAGTTAAGTGTTTACAATTTTTGTCTTGCGACAGACTATGCATTTTTAATAAGCAATTTTTATTAATTTTATTTGTAAATGGTTTCCATAATGACTTTTACTTCAATAAGCTAGCTTTTTACTTTCCGAGACATTAAAATTTATCCCGACCCGGATTCATCCTGTCGAGTGTACTGCGGCGAAGGATCGTTCGTATCTATTTTAGTATATACTCGTCAAAAGTATCTAGGGATCAAGCACCTTTTTGCCTATTACTGAAAATCAGGTTTTTTAATAATTTTTTTAACAGTTTTTTGCTGGTCGATTTAATAACTTAAAAAATAAATGAGTATAAAACCGTAATAATAAATAAATTTGTATTGATATTTTAATTTAAATTTAATAGGGTAATGAAATATTTTAAAAAATGCCTTGTCATTTTTGATGTGTGTACTATAACTATAACAGATGTCACGATTTACCAAGCGAGAATTACTGATCACTAAGGGTTAGTATAAACACAAACGCGCTTATTTTAAGTTATAATATTGCGCGAAAGCCTTTTTTATCTATTATTTGAGCTTCATCGGTACACCGACGTTTGCCAACCGGATCACTAATGTCGACGCAATCGTGCAGAAAGGATTCGTAACAAGGGTTGATCTCAATCATCAACCCTTGTCGATTTGAAGGCAATATACTTGGGAACCCGACATATAATCCTAGGTGAGCGAACAAGTGCACACGAGTGCCTCAAGAAACAGAAACTGATTTGAAGCAGTGTATCCTCAAAATCAAACAGTTTATTCCCTTACATATGTAGGTTATAAATATTTAACAAAAAATATAGATACTTTGCCTTACAGTGGAATGTATTTAATTTTATATGACACCTAACGCAAAGCAAAAGAAAGTTCATTTATGAAATTTTATGTATTTTTAACTGTCTTTCAAACTTTTATATTCGGCATCCGAACAGTCCACAGGACGAGATATTTTTTCTTTCATATAGTTGAAAGAAATCTAATGATATCACTTAGATGCAACTGGTCCTCAAAAAGTGTTAGCTTTCATGGTCAAATAATATAATCTAGACAAGATATTTAAATTCAATTGAAGTAGCCGGAACACTTCGTCCCTTTTTGTGTATGACCCAAATATAACACAATAACTAAACATTTTTAGTAGCAGTCTCCTGCTACTCCTTGTGACAGAGTTCGACTTGTCAACTTATTACCCAGGGTGACAGGCGTAGTGGCAGTGTTTCTCAGTTCTTTGCGGTTTAAAGTTTTGAATTCAAGTGTTGTTAACACCCACAAATTACTAGATGACGCTACTAGTACTGAAATACTCTGACTTCTACATACGGCGACTTAGATATTATTACTTTTGAATATATAATGGTTACCTATCGAAGAAGAGACATTCTATTACATTTATTTGAAACAATAAGGACCTACAATTTACCTTTACACTATACCTACTGTCGGGGTAGAAGCTAGAATGTCGGAGTAGATAAGCCAGGGAGAAGTAGGAAGGTATGAAATCAAAGGATGGGGAATGATAAAGTATAACAATGCGTTTATATCAAAAAGAACCGGCGAGTGTTATGAAGGAGAGTAGAACGGTGTGGTGTGTAGATGAAGAAGAAGATAGATGTTGGATACACGGAGTTGGGGCCTCTGCCCTCCAAGGTTGGAGCCCGACGGCAGAGGTGTTGAGCCGTTGAGCAGTGGGTTTGGCGTAGAGAGTGGAGCGGTTCTTGTAGAAACAGCGGCGGTTATGCAGCACTAAAGTTCACGGGCAGAGAAAGATAAATAACGAAAATATATAGTATTCATAAATATAAAATTATTGGTGTAGAGTATATATAAAATATATAGATATGACCACTGACAAGGCACTAGTTTTAACTTTTAGCAGAATACCAAAAGTACAAAACCCTGCCATTGGGTTACCTGTCAGTGGTCCGAAATGACATTTTCCAGAAATAACGGTAATTTCGAGAGGAAAATGTTTTTTATTAAATCGAACCTAATCGTGTCTTTGCGATAAACATCCTACAAATTCTGAAAGAACAACGGTGTCGCTATAATTCGGTTTTCGGTGTGATGAAAATTCGAACAAACGTTATTTCGGAAAAGAAAATCGAGTTTGTGATAGGTTACCATTTTTATTGTTTACTTTGCAGTGACAAAAGAAATAATGACGTCTAGAAAAAATTCCATAATATTAACTCTAAAAATTGTTTTAAGCACACGCCAGCATATCAAGCTACACATTGACGTATCTTGTTCCATTGCACTGGAGGCGATTTTGGAACAAAAATGTGTAGTCTGGCGTGCCGTTGTCCGTACATTAAATTATAATTCCTTAGAGACGTGAAGGTGGACAATTATTCGATTAGTAGAAAAATATACTTAGCATAAAAATATTCCAATTTTTTTCTGATACTTAGAAAGTTTGAAAATAGATTTTTATAAATTTCTCAAAACTACACAAGTTATAAATGCTTAATGTTGCATGTTATCATAAAATACTCGACGATTGCGAAGGCTAATGGGTTTGATTAAATCGTAATAATATGACGCGTAGACATATCTCAAACAGATAGAATCATACTACTCGACATGAATTTGGCGTTATTTAAGTAGTTGCTCAAGAAATTGTATTTGAGATACTGGTTGTTGTTGTTAATAATAAAAATCGATTTTGATAAACCACTCGTACTTCTAGTTTTGATAAATAGTTATTTCCATCGATTGTAAGGCACCTAATTATTATTTGTTACCTTCTTTGATATGAAATTTGAGGGGTGTTTTAATTGAACATTTCATTTTTAGTTTATCACAATGCTCGAAGTAAAGTTTTCGCTAATTGCGATACTGGCGTCGCTATCATTTGTCGACTCTTCTAATATCCTACTGGTGTTCGCACTCCCAGGAAAAAGTCATGGAATCCTTGGAGATGGCTTCGTGCGGTTATTATTGGCGGCTGGACATGAGGTCAGTATCGCATGGTTACACGCTTACATTAATAAAAAAATACTCTTGAGTTCTTAAGTTTCCAGGGTTGCTACACATTGGAAATCAAACTATTTTTTTGGCTTATTTTTTCTTTTTTTTTACACACACACAGACAACCATAAATTACGCCTAAACTCACGAGAGAAATATATGTAGGCCATACAAATATTTCTCACGGCTCGGAAATCGACCTTAGCGTGGCAGTCCAGAGTGATAACTGTTCGGCCACAGAGGCAGTTTTAATCCCATCGGAGAGAATTTACATCGCATATATTTGTTCAAGTAACCATGGGACTGATATAGAGCCGAAACATTAAATATATTATATATATAATGCTACAAATCCGGACTCACTTAGAATAACAGAACGCATACTTGCCCATATGGTGGAAAAAAAATATTTTTGTATCGTTGTACATATAAATTTTGTAGAAATACTTACACTAAAGGTACCTACAGTGTGTGGCCATCTGTTACTTTTCCTGCTCCAAGAAAATTGATATCTTAAATCCATTAAATTAGTCTATAACTGAATCATCCTCTAGACTAAGTGACAGTCAGCAGAGAAAACAATCAATCTCAATCATCACTCGACAATCCACCTTTAGCATAATCATTGTGCTAATATAATTCACTCGTCTCTATCAAATAGAGACGTAACGTGTCTCCGGGGGATACCCATATCGCTCGAATCAACGTTTTATGTCAAAGAACCATTTATTCCATAGGTAAAATAAATTTGCACTTGAAAACGTCATATTTAACCTGCTTTTAAGCTACTGGCGTTTCGTTACGCTGACTTCCCAGAGAAGAACGAGGAAGTAACTCTAGGGATTGCTCTTTTCAAATAAACTTAAATTCTATGGAAAGCATTTTGAATCAAACTTGTGTGGAATGTGGATCCATGTCGTCTTTCCATACATCTTTATGTAACACATAGTCTTCAATTTTGCAATACGACTTTTCAATCAACATTTATTTAATGTATTTTAAATTTTTATTGAATTGATATTCAATTATTTTTTGTGAAATTACTCCACTAGTTTGTTATAATTATTAATACAAAGATCGAACACTCAGAAAAAATCCCTTCGATCCGGCCGGATTCGAACCGACGTCGTCTAGCTTACCGTGCCAGACGTTATACCAACTAAGCCACGGAACGAACCAGCGGACCTCACGAATTTTTCTATGTGCCTGCGTCGTGTCTTTGTATTTGGTTTTTTCAACGACTTTTTAGTCTTAGCGCCATTTATGAGAAATCTATGAAAGATTTATCACCCAGTTAGTACCTTTACAGTTACCAGTCCTGGCGAGAGATGTCGCTATTCGCTGTATTTTAAATTTTTATTGAATTGATATTCAAGCAAGGCTTTAGGCTCTAAGGCAAAGAATCAAATATGAGAAGACCTGATTGTGGAAAATGTAAACGAGTGATCAACGGCCTGCAAAAACTATAATACATACTACAATACATATAATATTTGTGCACTTTTATGAGATACACCTTGGGCAATTTCTGCGGAAAGTAAAAAATGTTCGAAATTCAAGTAAATAAGATGGCCGCCATACAAATTTCGAAGCCTTCTATCACGGAAACTATTAGAGATAAGTCGGAGATGCTGGAAGGAATGTCATAGAGCGTAATAGTGGTTAACTGCCAGTGTAAAAAAAATTCAAGATGGCGAATCCAAAATGGCGGCCAAAGAAAAATTTGCTTCCATGCGGCTGAAAATTGGTATTGAAGACCCCCTTCAGGAGTCCTTAATCTTAATTTGGGGTCAAAAGTTTTTTTCGCTTTTTTTAATATGGCTGCCATGCAAGTGTTTTATTTCGTTATAAATAGCTGCCGAAAGAGACTCGTTCTGTTTCAGCTGAAAATTTACATAAGGAGGCCTCTAGAAGTGCCATATAATTTGTGCTCGAAATTGGTTTTTCGCCATTTTCAAATATGGCCGCCATACGAGCGTTTGTTGGCAGTAGAAAAAAATTGTTCTGATTCCTTTGAAAAGTGGCATGTTGGAGTCTCCAGGAGTGCTTGATAGTAATTTGTGATCAACATTAGTTTATCGTCATTTTTCAATATGGCTGCCATAGAAGTGTTTTTTGGCGAAGATGGAAATTTTGCTCTAATTCAGTTGAAAATCGGCATGTCGGATCTCTGCGGTTGTTTAATAATAATTTGCAGTGAAAATTTACTTTTTGCCAATTGCCTCTTAGAGCTATGGTAATTTTTTTAAAGTCATATATAGTGCCGAGGCCGTAGGCTGAGGTGTAGCGGAGGGCGAAGCAGGTAGCGTCCCCACGCCACCTTACGTTGGTAAATTTTATATTTATACTCTCTATACTGCACCTGTACCAACTTCCTCCAGGGACATACTTTCTTTAACTTTGCGAAGTATATTGCTATGATGCCAAGTTTAAATACTTGTAAAATACTTCATTTACGGTATGTTATATAATATGACTCGGAATTTTTTAATTGCTTTGTACAGCTTGATGTGCTGTCGTCTGTTCTATGAAGAAAATAATTGTTTATTAATTACTTTGGTTTAAACAACTTTCAAAGGCTTAATTTTATTCTAGTTGGCAAATAATAAGTAATTGGTTGGTTTATTTTGTCCTGAGTAAGCTTCATAATAAGGACGTACTTAGTTTTCATTTGTTATGTTACCTTTTTGATCTCTTAGAAAAATAACATGTTATGTCACATTTCCTTTTGTCTTTTATATAAAGAAGCGAGAAATTGCACTTTTGCTAATTGTAAGATCACAAATTCGCAACGGTGGTGGTGCGTTCAGCGGGAAGTTCAAGGTTTGCGTCTTGTGTTGGATGTATCAAACACAAGACACAAGTTTACGCACAATGTACGCCCAAATCTTGAACGCACCGGCGCGCTATGGGAAATTTACGTCAGTTACGGATCAAAATTCTGTAACTTTTTTGATTTTTGAGATACACCTTTCATTTTTTTATTATACATAGTGGGAATTACGACGCTTTTAAACCGGATATACATTTTTATTTAAATACCCATAATTGAGAGACAAAAAAACGTGCAAAATCATAAACCTCTCTCTGGTAAATACTACCCAATATTTCTTTTTTTTTAAATGGAAGTGCTATGTTAGGGTAATTCTTTATTCATAAAATACATTAAATGTACATACATTTTAAGAATAAACGTGAAAGAATGTTTGTTATTATTTCGGATATCTGTTTTAGACTCTAGCCTCTTTCTTCTATCATGGCCTATAATCAGTAATCAGTGATGAGTTGGTCCACTTTCAATAATCGTAGCGTCTCCTCGTCAAATTCCTGTCGATTTTTTAACTAAGGTTTTCGGATACTGGATATAAATGGATCAGAAGTACAAAGTAACGTGTGAAATACAACTTCATTTGTTGCAGATCTAGAGCACTAAGAGCTAGTGCAGAAAGTTGTCCGATAGGTAACACTGCAAAATGATTAATTATACATTCTCCGTGAATTAATATTTTGTGTACAGAAGATTGCATATAATACCAATTATATTTACTAACGTATATTCATGCAGTTTCCAAAACATATTTCCCAAATTTTTGGGAATCTACCATTAAACCAGACGAAAAAGCTTGAAGGATTACATAGAGTCGCTTTATCAAAATTTCATCGACTCCTGTAATTGCAGCCGAGCGGCGGCGTCGTGGTGAATGTTCACTGATCCCACGGCGCCGACTAAACCGGCGAGAGGGAAACCCGGGGCGGTTTTAGTGGGGTAGGCCCTCCAGCCTGGAGGGAGAGTCCCCAGGGGTATCCATAAAGATTTCCCCCCCGTAAAAAAAAAAAAAAAAAAAGGCTGTATTATAAAAAACCTTTCTCGCAGTGTTACCGTCATTGGTATTGCCACCTCCTTGCCGTGGTTTTCAATTATTAATCCAAGCTCTTCTCGAAAGCGTCTTTGTACCACAGTTTTCTTATCTTGTTTCATTTTTTTATTTATGTCACTCGTAGCTGATCATTTTTGAAACGAAAGGTTGTAAGAAATATTCAAAATCATCTCCATACAACGAATCCGGTGCGTGCTGTGTTGATAATCCATAACGAAAAGAATTTTCATTTTCGGGCCTAGCAGTTACATTTTGTAAATTATTCATTAGACGTGGAGTAGCACCACAAATATTACATGTTGAACTTGAAGGAGTGTCGGTTAATACCTGAGCTACTTTGCCGTCTATCATGGTCAAAAAAAGTTCATGTTTAACTTGAACGCCATTGCCTTCCTTAATAATCAACGATGGACTCAAAGAATCAATTTGATTTTGAATATCGTTAATAACAACTTTAATTCTATTAATTAAATGTGTATTTCAATTAAGATATTGGTCAAAACCATTTTTGATACGCCGTTGTTCTACAATTCCCATAGTGCACCGTCGCCCCGAATTGAATGCAATATTAGTCAAACTCAAAGAACATTTATTCCATAGGCACAAATTTTTACACTTGAAAACGATAACTAATATACTCCCGGACACATAAATCGAGTCACCTTGCATTTTGACTCTTAAAGGGCAGAACACAAAAATATTGTTATCACCGTAGAAAACAGTTTTTCCCGGTTTTATAAATTCAAATTATCAACAAGGACTCTTGGAAATGACGTTTAGTATACCAATTTCAAAATAGCTTAGTAGTTTTCGATCAATCGAATATTGTTTAAGTTCAGGCAAATTAATACTGAAAATGCAAGGTGGCTCGACTTCCGTGTCCGGGAGTGTATATTAATTATTGTACTCGAACCATTGACTTACAATTATATGGACGTCGGGTCCGCGCTAAAAAGTGTCCGCACTTGTAAGGCGCTAAAATCGTATACAGAGCGCTATCTCCGCTTTAGTCTTCATTTGTTCTACTGACAGCGCGATACTGCGATGACATTACAATTTAAATTTCGAATAGGTTGACTTGGGACATTTTTTTCGTGGTTTTTGTATTAGACCCGTCGTCCATTTATTTGTAAGTCAATGACTCGAACGTAACTTTTCTCGAACTGTCACTTTTTGGGTGCCCGAGAAAAGACGGCATTGCTATGATTGTAACAAGAAAACCATTTGAAACTTGTAATTTTTCTGAAATATAAGGAGTTGTTGGGGTTTTAGTATTCTTCATTGAAGATCCTATTCTAAACCCTTAATAATGAATGAAAATTGACTGTCCGTGGCCGAACGGTTACCATGCCGGACTGCCACGTAGAGGTCCCAGGTTCGATTCCCGGGCCGGGAGAAATATTTATATGGCCTACATTTATTTCTCTCGTGAGTTTGGGTGTAATTTGTGGTTGTCTATGTGTGTGTCCATAGCACCCGCGACACAGGGCTTCCCTAGTGCGGGTGTATGTTGAGTGTGTGCGTTATTATTATTAATGTAAACCCTTTCTCCTGAGATACAATCTTTTGACTAGTTCAGGAGACAGAATTTCTTAAATTTGGAATGCATTTTTTTATAGTCTGTGCTACTTCATATCCACACCAATAAATTTTGTATTTGCTTCTCTGTACAATTGTAATTATTAAGGATATTATTTTAATAATAAAGATTTTATGTATTGTTCAGCATAAATAAAAGCTTTTTTATTTCGTAATCTATTTTTAGGTATTCGGCCGAATACTAATTTAATATCCGGTCGAATATCGAATTATATATCGAATCGAAAGTTACTTGAAATGATCGATTTATTGTTCAGCAAATCGTTGTCATTATCGCTTATTTATCAAAACACATGATCTGTTTTGTATTATTTCAATTCCAGGTGACATCTATAACAACATATCCGACACGACAATTGCATCCAAACCTGACTGAGGTAGATGTCAGTCGTAACTTGGATTTATCACCTGGTATGTATTATTATTGTATTAACTAAGAGTAATAACAGGATAAACAATCACATCAATGACTATATTTTTTATTGCTCCAAAAAATACAAAATACAATACCCGTCGGTCAAACTTAGTTTGGTCCGGGTATCCATCCGCCACGCCAAAGAGGCGCAGTACTTGGTGTTCCTAGGTGGAATATGGTCTATTCTCTACCTAAGTAACTGTTGAGATTATGGCAATCCGCTTCACCTTCCCTTTAGAAAAAGAAATACCTACTAATTATGCAAAAGGTGAGCAAAGAACGTGTTCCAAACTAAGATAATCCCTGTAGTATGAGTACCAGAGCAATAAACTCTGAGGCACTACCCAGAATACTCATACCAGGACCAATAAAGAAATATTTATATTTGAAATTGACCCACAGAGTCAACAGTTAACTGTAATACATAGTTCATTAATTTCAGTATAAAATTAGAAAATAGAGGTTAGTGTAAACTATTTTACATTACAGATAAGTATATTAATATAAAAGCAGTATTGGATAAGGAAATAGACTTGAACAATATAACCGGCTTAATTCATGCAATGAAAAACCTAGGCAATACAACGTTTACAAATGAAAACGTACAGAAACTTATGATGGATCCGTCACAAAAATTTGATGCAGTCATTGTTGAGTGGCTGTTCTGGGAATTGTCCAGTGGGTAAGATTACGTTGTATAGAAAATAGTATTTCATGCAATCGATGCATAATGACAGTTTTTAAAATCAAGTGCCGGGGAACGAGAGTTTAAGACCTAATTGTGTAAGGTTTGCATACAATACTTTTTCTAAGAGTAAATTAAAATAATGAAACACAACCAATATTTAAAGATTATTTTTGTTAATAATCCACGACAACAACTCTACAAAACAAAAAACCAAAGAGATGGAATAGATGTGTCCGTCATTGGCCAAGTACCGCTTTATATTTTCCCAATCAGACGGCAGTAGAGTGTTTGAGTACCGTGTTATTTGATATTTTTTACGCCTTTGTACCTGTTATGTAATATTTCGAGATATTATTTAATAAAACAATGAGATTGTTTTATATTTCACTAATATAGTGACTTCATTCTGTTCAGGAACACACTGACGCGTTTAAGGAGACTCTTTAGAAATTGTGCAAAAATGCGGCACTTTAACGAAAAATTTCAGTTCAGTAGCGAGTACCATAGACAATAGAATTTCGGGTCAGAACTGAAAAGAACGCCTTTGTTATGGATTATGAAATTATAATTAACAGAATAAAGTACAGGAGTTGAAAAAATACATTACGAACGACAACCATTAATAGCCAGATGTGAAAATATGGATCGTAAAGGCTGCCATTGTGCATTGTAATAATCAAAACCGTACTTGACGTAACAGATAATTATAATACAGATTATTTTATTAATTTAGCGGTGTTATATATAATTACGTAAATATTATATTACATAAAATAATTATGTCACATAAAAAAGATAACGGCGCGCTACCGCCTCCACGATCTCACCTAGTTTGTGTTATCAAACTAACGTGATATTTATAAACAAAGAAATCGTCGAACAGTGATGATGCGGTAATTACCGAGTTCAGTTATAAAACATGATTCGCAAATAGCTGGTGAATCATTTCTCTAATCAGAAAACAACACGTAATATGATTTATCCTTTTTCAATGTACGCTACTGACTATAAACTGAATTCTATGATACTTGAAGTGACAAAGAGTTTCAGACATTCATATACATATAGAAAGATTTCTTTTATATCGTTTGCATCAAATAAAAAGATTTCTATCGCATTGATTGCCTAAGGGAGTGAAAAGAACTAGGACTTTGAACTAAGCCCCTGAAATAAACATCACAATGAAACATCAGCTATGCCATAAAAAACGTATTCAGACTCGCTACAAAAGATGTCCTAAAACTTGTGTCATTGTATTTTGAAAATCGTTCCGCAATAGAGTCAAATAGGCGATCAAATTTTGTATGGGAGTCCTCTAGTAAAGAAGTACTAGCGAGTGCTTTTATTTGTACTGGAACATGCTTTCGATTTTTTTTTTCATTGTGTTATAGTAGTCCATAACAGATGTATAAGTTTACGCCGATGAAGTCGCAGGCAACAGGCTTTTCGACTTCAAGTTGCATCTAGGATGCTTCCGTTCTATTTTATTCTTGCTAGTTACCACTCCGTTGGTCACTCCCTCAGTAAAACTTATCCTTTCATATCCTTTGAAAAGTCTTTAAATATCTTCTCCTCTTCTATCTCCTTTGTGTTGCATCCTGAAAGGTCCTTTCATTAAAAGTTTTGATTGTAGTTGGAACAAAACTTAAGAAACTTCAGTAGTTATCAATTTTCAAATTACAATTTTGATTTATCTTATACGCGATTAAGGCATACACATAACGCATTAGTCTAATTTAAGGTGTTACTCCTGATGCACATTTATTTTCAGATTATCGGCAGTATTCGATTGCCCGCTGATATGGTTTTCTACATTAGAACCACACTGGATGGTTACAAAATTAATCGATGAAAACTTGAATCCAGCGTACAATCCCGATTTTATGACGGGGAACACAATACCGTTCACCTTTATGCAACGGGTCGCAGAATTATGCAAGCAAATTGTCACAAGTTTGTTCTTGGATTTGTGAGTTCTGTATCTACAAACTATAACATTTAGAATTTGTTGTCACTCTTATCAAATCTCTTTCCGTCATTTTCAATATTTCTTATGATTTCGGGGATTTGTGCAAACTTTACATTTCCTGTTATTGATATGATTTGGCTGTTAGTTATATTTTAGAAACGTTCTCTAGGTAATCTATATTATTAGTACATTATAATTCATTACATGTAATTATTGGTTACAGCACTTTTGTACCGATGGAGGAAAAATTATATCAAGTATTATTCGGTCCAGCAGCAGCAATAAGAGGAAAATCGCTACCCTCTTATCATGATGTAAGGTTCAACGCGTCCCTGATGTTGGGCAATTCACATGTTTCGTTGGGACAAGCAACAAGATTGCCCCAAAGCTATAAGCCAATAGCTGGATATCACATCGACCCCGACCTTAAACCTCTTCCGGAGGTAAGATATTATCTTCTTTTCTGCAAGGTTTTTAATAGGTTGTTAAATAGACGTAAAGCAAACGTAAGTATACAAAAGACAAATTAACACAAGTCTGGTCTTAATTCAATATATCCAATAATGATTTCAATTAAGTACTACGATTCTTAATTTTCAGAATTTGAAAAAAATCTTTGATAATGATACAACTGGCGTTATTTACTTTAGCATGGGCTCTAGCTTAAAAAGTAAAGACATGCCGGAAAAACTGAAGAAAGAGTTGTTGAAAATGTTTGGAACACTAAAACATACGGTCCTTTGGAAATTTGAAGATGTACTAACGGATTTACCCACAAATGTTCACATTGTAAAATGGGCACCACAACCAAGCATTTTGGGTACGAGAACTGAAACAATCTGTTATTTTTTCTAAACTGACTTCTAGTGACCTCAGCAATAAATATGCGACGGATGATAAAGCTTATATTATTTTCATTGCTTTGCAGCTCATCCAAAAACGATTCTCTTTATAACTCACGGAGGACTTCTCTCAACTACTGAGACCGTTCATTTTGGAGTACCTATCATCGGTATACCAGTCTTCGCAGATCAATTTAACAATGTCGATAGGGCTATAAATAAAGGTTTCGCAAAGCGAGTGGACCTTTCTTACACAATGGCCGACGACCTAAAAGTAGCTATTGAGGAAATCATAAGCAATCCACGGTACGAATCTATCTAGATTATATTACACACGCCAGCACATCAATGGAGGCGATTTTCGAACAAAAATGTGTAGTCTGATGTGCCGTTGTGCGTACATAAAAAATATTATTACGTAAAAATTAATGCAATGGATCTTTGTGAAAATTGTTCCTGTATTTTAGGTATGCAGCAAAAGTGAAGGAGTTATCTCTAATATACCATGACCGGCCGGTGTCTCCAGACAAGGAGTTAGTGCACTGGATCGAGCACGTAATCAAAACTAAAGGAGCACCGCATTTGCGGTCACCAGCACTGTTTGTACCTTGGTACCAGAAAGTGTACCTTGATCTTGCTGCCCTCATTTTGATAGGATTATTAGCTATTAAAATAGTTATAAAACAATTATTTTGTTCAAAGGGAAGAACAACTTCTCAAAAGAAAAATAATTAAAAGGAATATCCATAATTAATTATTTAAGAAATAAAGTCTTTTACGACTGATTTTTACTATATATTTTCAACCCATAATTCCACTGGCACCATTGACTTACAAATAAATGGACGACGGGTCTAATACAAAAACCACGAAAAAAAGTCCCAAGTCAACCTATTTAAACGTAGTGACATGTAAAGGAATATGAAAAAGCTAAAACGTTTTGTAATGTCATCGCAGTACTGTCTAATTTTGCTTGCTTCGCTGTCAGTCGAACAAACGAAGACTAAAGCGTGAATGACGCTCTGTATACGATTTTAACGTCCTATAAGTTCGGACACTTTTTAGCGCGGACCCGAGGTCCATATAATTGTAAGTCAATGACTGGCACTTAAATGTAATATTGTTGTAAAAATATTTGCTGTCGAAATAATTGTATCAACGCTATGAAGTTCCGAGTCGCTAACAGTGAACAGAGTTCAATATTCAAGGTACGACGAGACGATGGTGGGGTCAACGAAAAGATCCTAATAACAATAAAATAATGATGACGAAATAGTAATAAAAACAAAACACGAATGTCTGTATCTACAAACACGATGGTATTTCTATATACAGATGGGTAAATCAAGGATGTACGATATTGTGCTCCTGAGTAAATATTCTAAAAAACGGAAAATAATTTTCTTTTTTTTATCGCGTCGTATAGTTCTTTTATGACTATATTGACTTTAAAACGTATTGGAAATGAGATTATTTTTTAGGATCTATTTGTTTTTTCGAACAAACCAACGTTTCAGTCACGCAGTGTCCAGACACGTCTATGACAGACACCCAAGACGACACAACTTTGTAACACATTTTTTTTGGAAGATCTCGTAAATACAAAACTAAAACAAAATGTATCTTCTCTCCTTGGTATTTTTCACCATTCTTGTACAAAATGTCACTTTGACGTTATAGTTTAAAAATATTTAGTAAATTAGTTGAAACTCTTAAATGTTGGTGTAATCTATTATTTAAACCATTCACATGTATATTACTTATTGTTGGTGAACGATTTTTCTATAAAATCAATAGCGTGAATGAGTACCCTTTAGTTTGACGTATTTTTGAAAACACCAACCCTGACTTTTTCTTTTATGGTAACGCAGAATACTAGTGCTGCGTACTATAATCGAGGGCTGTAGCTCAGATGCATTGCGAGAGGTACTTTTAATAATATAAAACCGGGATTAACTTAAAACTTTGGTTTATTTCACTTTTTACATGTTTAGGGTTTGTACAATAATCTTAATATATATGTCAAGATCTTCTGTTTTCTTAACCTTCTTTTTCAAAGCATTCTAAATACAAACTAACTCATTCAGCCAGCAAATCTACTCATAGAGTACAGCCTCGTCTACATCCCTCTTCCTCACAGCTGAAGGGGTGAATATCCCTAGCTGGTAGTCTACCTATGATAGGCAACATACATAGTGATCAGCCTTTACTACAGGCTAGCCACACACTGCTCGGAAGCTATCAACTTACCAACAAGTAACCACCGAGGAGGCTATGGCTTTGGTCTGCCAAAAACCTATCTAAAAGGACAGACCATGACCACATCCTAAACAAACAAAAAAAATATAATTACTCGCTAGCTATCCTAGCTAATTAGGGAACCTGACTAAACCCTAACACTTTATTTCATCGACCCTAAACTGGCTGAACGACCCTATCAAACTTCTAAACATCGCTACAAAACTATTTCCCTAAACTCCCTAAACCTAAGCTATCACCAACGCGGATGCTGCTACAACGACGACACAGGCTTGAACATCCATCGGACGATCACTGGGTTACATCACTATTGATCTCCCAGCTGCCTTAGTCCTCATTTTGCAGCTATCACGTTCCATCAGCTTCACTTGCTATCCTTAACCAAACAAAAGCCAACCCACATACAACGTCAACAACACATTCTAACTACATATTCCAAGACATATATGGTATGTGGGTATACCACATGAAGAATTTCTAATAATTAAATAAATATATTTTCCCCGAATGCAGACAGTTGTTGTTCATCTTGAAGAGTGAGCTCGAACTATGCACATATACTGGATAATATATCTATCAAATTAAAAAAAAGGGAAAAAGGAAAATTAAGTTAAATCTTTCTACGATATTCCATCATCATCCTCCCGTCATTCCAAGTCTGCATTGCCGGAAAATAATAAGGCCTCTTAAAATTTTTCACTCATTGTGGTTCCACATGAAAAATAAATATACAAGATTAATTAACTTAGTAGAAAATAAGAACACATTAAATTATCTCCTAAAGAACTTTTTCATCCTATTCACATGGACTAGATCCTGCCTACACAATCTATTCCTATTTACATCTACTTTTCTCACAATATAATTAACCCTACTTAATCGACCTATTACTCTATACGGCCCTTTAAATAATCTAGTTAATTTCATACTTCTATTAGAAATTCTCCTAGGACAATATAACATTATCAAGTCCCCTGGCTGATACACAACCATTTTTGCCTTCTTATCATAATTTCGCTTCTGTTTTATCTGCGCCCTCACTATTCGTTCCTTAACTACATCAATCAACGCTGCTTGTTTTGCAATTTTATCTTGCAGGTTCTCCGCAACATTGACACAATTAATCCCTAATTCCATATCTGACGCACATAAGGATTCTCTACCGAACAATACCATATATGGTGACACCCCGGTACTGCTATGTTTGCTAGAATTATAAGCAAAACACACCAATGGTAACATGCTACACCAATTCCTTTGTTCGCTTCCTATATATTTCGCTAACATTCCTAACAGCGTCCTATTAAATCTCTCACATAAACCGTTACACTTCGGATTGAATGCCGTAGTATGCACCATAATCGCTCCAAAATCTCGCGCTGTCTCCTCTACCAAATGAGAAGTAAACACTGATCCTCTATCGCTTAAAACTTGTTTTACTCCGCCGTATCTACAAAATATCTCGGACACCAAAAATTCACAAATTGTTTCCGCTGTCACCCTGGATACGGCCCTGCACACTACATATTTCGAAAGATATTCTATACTCACAATTATATATTTATTGCCTCTATCTGAACGATTGAATGGGCCTAATACATCAATTCCTACACGCTCGAAAATATTATTCACGGGAATAGAAATCAATGGTGCAATCATTTTATTTATGTTGCGCTCCTGACACAACTGACAACTTTTGACATATGACTCAATTTTTTTTTCAGCATTCACTATGAAATACCTCTGTCTAAACCTTGAAAAAGTTTTAAACAAACCAAAATGTCCGCCCGTCCAAGGACTATCATGCAGTTCCTTCATGCATTCCGAAAATAATTCCGACGGAACGACCACTAAATCAACTAAATTTTGATTCAAACTACAC